GATTTTCCCTTGGGTTTAGGGTTTAGGGTTGAGGGTTTAGAGCATTCAGTCATTCCTATTAGCAGTAAATTGTCGGGGCTCTGGGAAGGTTTGCAGGGCATGAGTGACAGTCGGGACTGTCAAAGCCATTTGTTTGCAGCGTAAATAACTGCTAGCATTGCGGGTTTAGATTCCTGGTATGAGTGGTATGAGTACCGTAAAAGGTGCCTTGAATAGACCTCAAAGTGATATTGGTCATTATTGAGGCCCTTACAATAGTACCAGCAGTGTTTTGAGACACCCCAAAGCATCCTTGGTTCAGCGTGTCTAGGAGCGTGCTGACATTGATGCTCATTGTTCAGTGAACCCTCCAATAAGCGGCGAAAATTTTAGGGGGGAGGTTTCCAGGGCAGATGCAGGCGTAAGATGTAGAATTTAAGGTATGGGGCAAGGTCTTGGGCTGTGCTATTCCTTCAAAAATGCCACTATACTTGTACAGATGCCAGACCCTAAACCCTAAAACCCAAAATCCTAAACCTCCACGAGGCAAGATCACCGGTAATTCGTCGCCGGTGGTTCATGCACATGGCCTGAATACCTGTTGCTAGCCTCATTTCTTGGGGTTCAGGGGTTTGGGGGTAAGACCAACTTTCCAACATCCGAGCTTCCAGGTTCCGATAATGAGGGCTATAGGTGGTTGGGGGTACAGAACGATGACCTGTTTTTTTCAAGTTGCCATATCACTTACAAGAAACGCACAGGCTTGGTCCCTACAGTCCTTGTTTTCTCTCAAGATATCCTTGACACGGTGATTTTTCAACATTATCATTATGGTTGCTGTTTTGATCCGTATTCAAATCTAGCCCCTGGTTAAGGTTGAACTGCAGACTAAAGCCCTACGAATGGCCCGACCGCGCAAGCCGTATTGACTTGGAAACCCTGAAACCTTTAATTTGCTTCCGGAACGAAAGCATAAACGGTGTGCAGCCGTTAGCCGTCCTGGGTACATAGTATGCAGCGGGACGAAGGTATTGTCTCAATCTAAACTTTCCATGTCGGAAGGAGTGCAACCTCTAAAGGGCCTGAACCGATAAACCTAAAACCCCTAAAGCCATGAACTCTACAACCCTACGTCATTCTTACAGACTCACACACACACAAACTACAACCTAAAATCCTTGTGCCCGGAGCTCTAAACTTATCGCTTGTTGTAAGGAATGGAGCAACGGACCCCTTATAGTGGCCTTTATTCCAGCTCCGAGTATTTTGTAGTTTGCATGTTCTTCTCCATTCCTGACTAAGCCGCCCAAACAGGAGTTCCCACTTTCGTTGACATTCCTTCGTTCCATAGGATAGTTCCAAACCCTTCATGTGTCCCCACAACCACCCGGTATCCATGTCATTTGTCCATTTCATGTTCCGTGTGTTTTCTTTCGTCTAAACCTTGAACCCCAACCCGTAAGTGAGGCTGTCCAGACTACATCGCTGCAGCCCGTGCTTCAGACCACGAACTCGTGAAATGCGAGAACGGTCAGATTGTTCTACCGGAATCTTACCCTTCAGGTTCTAGGGTTTACCAGGTTTACCAAGACCCCCAACTACCCATTCATAGTTTGACTATTTGCGGGCATTCAGGCCACACAGAGGGTACTTGCGTTCTAGATAGGGTGAACGGTCCCCATTAACGTACCGACTCATAGCATGTGAACTGGCAAGGAGTGGCCCAAACACCTCAGATGACTTGCCGCGGAAGTCCTGAAAGCGGAGCATCTGCGACGGTGTCGGCCTTCTGCTGCAAGACCTGCCTTGGATGCTCACCATGATTGGGGTCCTCTTGGTGCTGCATCCCAGCGCCCGAAGATGTTCAGGAATCTGTGCTGGTCATTGAGCTTCTGTGAGCAACCTCGTCTCTGCACAGCCTCCTGCGGTTCCATGGTTGTTTAAATGGGCATGATGGAAAGTGGAGCTGCTTGCTGGCCGCAGGCGCTTGAGCGCATGCTCCAGCGGTTTTACGTTGAGGCAGCACTCCCTGCTTCGCGAACGAGTAGCCGCCAACCAACCACGACAGAAAATGCAACTCTGCGAATCCTGGGTCTCAGTTTCAGGTTTCGGGCTTCGGGATCTGCAAGACACCCCGACAACTCCCTCATAGTTAGCCGCTCCAGTGACTACGTGTTCCCATAAGAACACCTTTTGACTCCTTGTTCCGGACAATGGCACGCTGAACTTGCTTGATGGTAACTGAACCTCTCTGATACCCATGATGATGATCTTTCAGCCCAATACTGCCACCCTAAACGTTCAACCCCAAAGCCCTAAACTCTAAACCCATGGGTATACAGGCCATGATTCCGGGTGTTGGGGAGATTGAACAGAGAGTCCTGACAGCCAGTTGAGGGAGTGAGTGGCGGGGTTTAGGGCTTAGGGTTTGGGGCTTTAAGCTTTGGGTGTCCTGTTTGGATGTTTCCCAAAAGTAGGGTGACTTTAAAGACATCACAGGGCTATGTAGGTTTCAGCCCAAAATTAGGGAACCTCTTTTGGTGGTCCCTGTAAGAAGGAATATCGCTTTTGGAAACTGTTTTGGCATGCCCTCGTGCACGGAAACTACCATATGGACTTACCTGAATTGAGTTCCATCACAGGGGGGAGGGGTGTATGGGACTTCTGTTTTGGACACATCTGCATATCTACAATTACAAGGGAAAGTCCAAAAAAGTGGAACATCTACTGTTGCATGTGGGAATGGGGACCCTCGCCCTTTTCATGCTCTTTCCTGGGGACACCAGTTGTGGTTTCATTTTTTTTTCGTCTTGCCCATTTGACTCTCCACGAAAGGGGTAATCACCAGACATGTCCCCATACAATCCCTACATAATCGTGTGCTGAGGCGGCAAGCCGTAGTCAAGTTGGAGATGCCAGCTCAAATTTTGGGGTTTAAGGCTTACTGCTATGTAGTTCCTTTTGGGGTTTGTCATGGTTGTTTTTTTATGAAGAGGTTATAATATGTACCCGAAATCAACTACATATCAAGGTCTGGGTTTTGTTTAGGGTTTAGGAGACGCACTTGTGTTTGACCAGGGAGCTAGGAAGGGACATATCGTGGCGTCCGCATTGACAACACTGATGAAACTGCATGTGCTGTAGTTAGACGTGCCTCAAAGCTTCAAAGATGCAAAGGAAATCGTGAGTACCTCGCGGTTTAGGGTTTAGGGTTTTGGGTTTTGGGTTTAGGGTTTAGGGTAACAGGCGAAGAGCTGAAAGTCGTTCTCAAGTTGAGCTATTAGGGAAAGTGGGAAACCTGTAGTGGAGCCTCATTTGATAGTCCCTCCACACACAGGGCAACCTGAACATGTACCCCAAATACTCGAATCCTTACTATAGGGACCCCCCCACAGGTACCTTTTTTTTGCAAAACCCTTTCTTGAGCTTGTGCTTTTTGAGATATTTTCATAGTACAGAAAGGGCATTGACTTTCAAGCTCACATATGCATGCTGCTGAATTGTTTGGCGATCCGATTATATCTGCGCGAGCTGATAGAATATGCCCCAAAATCCGCATAGTCAGTATTTAGTGCGTAGAGGAGCTTGAAAGAGCATTGTGGGCAAGCGGCGTTTGGAATGCTAGGTGACGTGTGAAGCTGTCGAGCTTGCTGAAGGTTCCAACTTTGCACAGAACGGCAGCAGTTTCCACAGCCGTGAAGGGCTTAAAAGAGCATGTTCCATGAATAGCTTTGAGCATCTAAAGGCCGGCCGTGGCCGGAGCGAAGCAGAACCACCAAAAAAGCGACACGGACGCCAGACTTCAGAATCTCACCACATATCCTCAACAGCAGCTGCAGCAATGACAGCCTGCAGTGGTTCGGCCACCGGCCCCCCTCCCACGGAGCAGTAGCTGCCGCCACAGTTGTAGCAGTTCTTGCCGCCAGTACACGCTCCGTCATGCTGCAGCTACGAAAGAACAAGATTGTGACCCAGGTGTCCAAAGGCTCCAGACTCAACTTGTAGCAAGGAGCCAGATAGGTCACGGTTGGGATGTAGGGTTTGGGGTTTGGTTTGCAGCGTTTAGGGAGATGAGAGGCAGTCTGAAGTTCAGACTATAAATCCGTTACCCCTAGTATCAAACCCTCTAGTATAAAATACGGGTTGCCCCAGGATTCCAAATTCTGAAGTCCGCCCCCCCCCCCCCTCCCCCAACTAATTTTGAATGGGCCAAGACATGCCAAGACACAAGTTAATTACGGCTCGCATCATCTGAATTAGGGGGTGTCTCCATCCTAGCACGACTCTGTAGGATTAGGGATCTCCTTGATTTCCTAGATTTAGATGGTGAATGATTTTTATACAGGATTTTTTATATGAAACCTGAATGCGATTTTGATTGGTTTATTGCGAATCTTACGTCGTCTCTAGTTCACTTTTGATTAGTTGTTACGTAAATTTCACTTGCTGTTAGTCGATAACTAGTTTCGACTCAGATTGTAAAGGGTCACGTTGTTGAATTGATGTTGAGTTGGTTCTATTTAGATCTTCATTGGGTTTCTATGGCTTTTACTTTGATTTTAATGGTTCTATATTACCATATGTTTACCATGTTGATTCGATTTGATCGTTTTTTTCTTTTTTTAGAGCTACTGGAATTTTATACGGTTGTAGTTAGAGTTCAACAGGACCCTATTATATACCCCCACCCCCCTAGTGCTGGGGGCCTGCGATAAATACCCTCCCCCTAATGTTAAATATGGTTCGGAGTATATACATTAGGGGTCTTTACTGTTAGGGAGAAAGGATGATATTTCATGTTCTATTTCTAGCCTGCAATTTCCTTCGAGCCTATATGCTTTCCAAGTAGAGGCCGACTGATGACCAAGTAACATTTTTCTTTCTGAAAGAAGTTCGCTCTGAAATAGGCTGAATCTGGGCTCAGACGATTACTGTGGATGGAGCCAATATTACACCACCCAGAATTAGCTTCCCTATACCCATGAATGTCAAGAAATGTGGGGGTCCTAAGCGGCCCCAAACCCAAATCCCAAATCCCTACACCCTAGATCACTGCAGGCTTGAATAAGAACAGACTTTGGGGGAGAGGCTGGTGCATCATAGAGCCGCTCCGCCTTGAGCTCTCAAACCCGGGCCTCGAGCCTCAAACCCAGATCCCCAAACTTTTCGAATCCCAAAACCGTTATAGAGTTTCGGGTTTAGGGTTGAATCCTACAACCTATTAGCCCCTTCAACTAAAATCCCATGTCCTTCAGCCGTAGGCCAAGTCGAGATCCGGCAGATGGAGGCATTTTAATCCAGTTGCAGGGACTGTTCATCATGGAGATTGCCCTGCATGCGCTCCCAGACCCCCTATAGGATTCTAGGATCCAAAAAATGGACCCCCCAAAAAATGGCTCCATTACTACATTAGGATACATTAGGAAACCTAGGGGATTATTAAGGGGTTCCATTTTTTGGATCCTTTAGGGGTTCTGGGCTATAGGTTCCTACGATGGCCCCTTAATTTTCCCCCATTCTGGGAACAGTAATTTAGGGAAACTTCCACATAAACCACCGCCTCAGCGGGGTGCTGACTAGCCGTGGGCCTCCAAATAAGTACTTGGTAATGTAGACCCTAAGTAGGGGTTTCCCAAAATTAAGGGTTTAGGGTTTAGGGCTTTAGGGTTTAGGGTTAAGGGTTTAGGGTTTAGGGTGGGAATTAGGGGTAATGTAGACCCATGATTAGTAAACCCCTTCCTTTTAAGGGCCTTAATATTAGGAACCCTATTAAAATCCCGATTAAGGAGAGGGGGGTTATTAATCAGGGGTCTACATTAGTCTTTGTTGTCCACTGAGTTGTCATGTAATCCACGTTATTTAGCCTTGGAATCCATTTTCCCCTCTGCGCAATAGGGACATTCCAGGCAACTACTTGCCACCAAACAGAGCAAATATGGAACGAGCTAGAATAGCCTGAAGCGGGTCCTTTGCACGCTCCTCATTAATCTTATTGGTCATTGGTACGTACTTGCGGAATAGATCTCTGTAGTAACCACGATTTACTCGCCAGTAATGCAGTACTCTCCATCTTCATTCTTTCCCGTTCTCTAAAACTCAGCCCGGAGCCCTACGTTTGTACTTTCTGCTCCGTCCCTTTTACCAACAAACAAGTACTAGTCCCTAAATAATTCGCAGTTTCTATTTTCTTTTCCATTATCCCAATATAACCCCAATATATCCCATATACAACAAACAAGTATTAGCGGGAGGGTGGCGTTCAGTCTGAGGTGCGGCACAGTCGACGAGGCGCACCATCTGAAGTTATCAAGCTTGCGGATAGATTCTCTCCGGACACTTGGGGGCGCTAGGGATATAGTCCCCCTTAATACCGATAGGATATGCTGGTCATATTGGGATAATGGAAAAGAAATAGAGACTACCATTTAGGGTTTAGGGTTTAGGAATATAGTCCCTTTGAGTAGATAGAATATGGGGTATATGGGGACCTTAGTATAATATACCCAAAGCCATATTCTATCTACTTAAGGGGGACTATGCGTAGAGGTTATAAAGGAGATCACAAAAGTATGAGTTCTTTGGGTGATATGCACGGGTAGACTCCGATGGGAGCCCCGAACAGGGCAGACAAGGGTCTTAAGGAGGGAATTGCAAGGAAAGGTTTGGGGTTTTTGGGAGGTTCTGTCATATCTGGGGGCCTCTGGGAAACTACTAGTATAGAGTGTCTGCCTGGGGGCTTAGGGCGCTCAGGCAGTACCAGGAAGAGTGTAAAGGCTTCTCAAACTTGCGGGCTAGTGTGGGGAGTCAGCACCCAATTTGTTCCCATAGGTCAGGTGAGCCCATTTGGTAACTTTTCTTTGAGATCTTCCCCAGTCACATGTTGATTCTTGCAAGAGCGGTATATAATTACTCCTGCCGCTATGACAGTTGCTCGGAAGAGGCCGATTTGAACCGCAGCTGGTGCGATCAGAATTTTCATGATCATTATCGTTAACAGGGTACCCGTGGAACAGGCTCGTTCGCAAGTTTCCGTTCTGGGGGATCCTGAATGATGCAAGATTCCCTGCAAAAAAAGTAATATAGACGCCTTAATAGTTGCTCATATCATTCTGAGGTATATTTGAGGTACACTATGCCCTACAAGGAATCTAGGAGCATAATGTGGGTCATTATTCCGTCTGTTTCACAACTTGTCTCGTCAGTCATCCCCACATACTCTACTACATACACAGGGAGTTGTCAACATTACGTCCCTTTCGGGGGTCCCCGTGGTTATGCGGCCCCCAATATTTTGGGTACCCAAAACGGGACCAAGCAATTGACAACCACCCACATACATCCGCAAACCCTAAACCCTAAACCCACGCAGTCTTACCCTTACGGGTTCTGCGGATTGACCCTTTTGGTCCCCCTTTTAGGAGCAGCGATGCTTTGAACTTTCCCTTGGGGTCCAAGTACTCATAGAAGCAAAACTACAAGATATACAGTTCCTAACTATTGTTGACTGTTGATTCCTACAACTTCAGGGACTTCAGTGGTGCAAGATTTCCCCCATGCACAATAAGGTGTAATTTGGAAAGTTGGTTGCTACCCTGAACAACAAAACTGCTTTTCTCATCTGGGCTTGATTATCACCATCTTGTTCTTGTCTAAAGTCTAAAGCATATATTGGTAATGGTCACAACCTTCTGCCCTCAAGCTCCTCCATCTACATCTACCTGGGAGTTGCCAAAATAAAGTGTCCCCGATATAGACCCCAACATATTGTAATCCTTATCATGGGGACCCCAAAATCGTACCCGTAAATTTTGGAGACCCCCATCTCTAGCTAATCTGTATCTATCTCGGTCGGTGTGCGGATCTGTCTGCTGCCCGCCTTCTTATTTTCGCGTCGCCTATGCCAATGAATCCATGAGTATTATAAGGGTGATTAAGGGGGATACTCAGAGTTTAGAAAATGGCTCCGCATATGAGAGTCTCAAAAGACGATCAAATCACTTACAGGTCAAGGAGGACCCCTTTTCAATTCCTAAGCAATCCCTATACTATAGGGACCGAACTAGCTTCCAATGTGATGTCCTTTATTATTTTGTCAGACCTGGAAGGCCATTGGTTAATATTTTGGCCACCACATTTGGGAATCCCTATCAACCCTGTAGAACCCAGTTTTGGTTTCATTCTCTATCTACTTGTCCACTTGACCTTAAACCCTAAGCCCTGACCCCCGTATTAGAAAGGCCTCTACACTATCTCCCTACAGTAGCGTTTTTCGTGATCACCGTTGGTTAGAGACTGGTATACCCCAAGCCGAGCCTGACGGGCAAACTTGAGCCTCAGGACTTGATTAAGGTTTTTGGTTTATGGTATAGGGGAGTCCTTAACCTAAAGCTTGGCATCCCAAACGCCAATCCCTGGACTCCAAGCTGGGTCATGGTGGAACAGAGTTTTGAAGTAAAGGGTTATACTTATACTGGAACCCAAACAAACAGACAAGTTTTTCGCCCTCAAGCCTAAAACCCTAAACCCCAACCCTACACCCACAAACACTGAACCCTAATCCCTGAACCCTGAACCCTAAACTCAAACTCTAAACCTCGGCTCCAGCCAGGTGTTCTCGCCATTTTCCTCGGCATCATTGTAGGCCCTCGATGGGGTTGTGGGGATGTAAAGGTTTTAAGGTTTGGGATTTATAGGTCTAGGATTTAGGGTCTCTGGTTTAGGGTTTGGGGTATAGGGTCTAGGGTTGAGGGTGCAGGGATGCATAGGGCTTAGGGTTGAGGGTATAGGGATGTATAGGGTTTGGGATTTAGGGTTGAGGGTAAAGGGGTGTACAGGGTTTAGGGTTGAGGGTACAGGGATGTATAGGGTTTAGGGTCTAGGGTGGAAGGTCTAAAGTTTAGGGTTTAGGGTCCAGAGCTAATTACTGGAGAAGCACATGGAAAAGACAACGGAAAACACAAATTACAAGGGCTTGTAGAACTTTATAGGGAACCGTGCTCAAAGGCCCCTTCATATTGGGGCTTTGAGGGCAAAGATTTCCTGAACCCTAGACCTTAAACCGCAGCAAGGAGAGCTTCCTTGCTAGTGGCTGTATGTGAGGTTTAAGATTCAGGGGCCTGCGCTCAGGCCTTCGGCTAAGAGGGGTTTAGGATTTCAGGTTTAGGGTTTACGGGGCTTATCAGCGTCAAAAGGTGAGGTAAAGCAAGGCGGAATAGGAAATAACCTCCAACATAAACAGCCGACCCTAAACCCTTAGCCCAATACTCCAGCGATCCTTTGGGAACCCCCGTATCATGCTGCAGTTTCTTACTGTGCGGAGCTGATACGGCTGTAGCGCCATCGTGGCTCCTGCGTGTAGATAAAACACTTTTGTGGTTATACAAGCCAACTGGAAAATCTGCTGGAAATGATCTTGGCCCCTTAATTCGCAATGGGGAGTTGGGGGGAGTGAGACAACCATACTTTAGGAGGACCCCCCCACCCTGTAATAGTGGTATAATATGAATATAATAGGACCCTGATATAATCCTTATTAACCCTCATAGTCACGATTACAGGGTGGGGGGTCCACCTAAACCATACTCTACAACAAAGCTGACGAGGACGAGGATTCACCTGAACCCTCCACCGGTTCCTATACAATCCCCACCTGAACAACCAAAAAGTGCCTAAAGAAGCCCAGATTACCCTTACCCTGGCCCTCATCAAAGATATGGGGTGTAAAGGGTTTAGGGTCTAGCGGACCAGGGAGATTCTGTAGGAGAGCGATCAGCAACTTTATGCTGGTCAAGTGAAATCAGCCCGCGTGTCGTGAACTGATTGGATGAGCGAAGTAAGGATTCAGCGACCAGCCTGATACCACGTGGGTGGTTGTCATAATTATGGTCCCTTGTTGGGTCCCTATTATAATATGGCACCTAATATTTAGTTGATCTCTTCCTAGCTTCTTCTGCAAATTCCATGAAATAATAAAAAGTCAGAAAAAAGTCAGAAATGAGATTACCCAGCTCCAGACAGTGTAGATTCGAAGTCAGAAGTCAAGTTAAAAACCAAGTCAGAAAAAAGTCAGAAATAAGTCAGGAAAAAGTTACAAACCTCACTATATTGCCATGAAGAATAGCTTTCCAATGTTGAAATCTACCTGCCTAACGTGCTGCTGAGAAGCTGTTAGATGATTGGATTGTCATGTTTCTGACTTTGTGCACTACATCAACTACCTATACACGGAAAAGGTAACCAAAAAGGCGTTCTCTAGAGCCCTTCGTCTGGTACGTTTTTATTGATAGACAGACGTCTTTTAAGCCGAAAGCGATCGCCCCAACCCCAGCCATTTCTGTCGCCCAAGCCCGAGCCATTTTGGGAATGGAGCCCCAAAAATTACGTCTGTCCTGGTTCGTCATGGCTCACGTGAGTGTGACATAAGTATATGCGGAGCCACTGGTATGAATAGAACAGATGCATGATAAAGCAACCCATCAAGTGTTCTACTTGCCTGCGGGTGATTATGCTGCTGGGGAAGGCATTAGTTTGTTGGCATAGTTTCCACAGGTACTAGTAGAGACATTCGACAAGCACTAGTCTTATCCCGTAAGCAAGAGAAGATACATGTGGCTGCGAACATAAACATCATCCCCTATAACATAACACCGGCTCTCCATTAGCATTTGCTTATTCAGAAGGGGTGGAGGTGTTTTCCTAATCCCCGAACCCTAACCCTTCTCAGAAAACATGGCAAGGGAAGATATGCATGCGTACAAGTACCAACATTACTAATAGAAGCTATAGTACCCCAGACCCGAAACCTCAAACCGCATTACAATATGTCTCAAGCTTTCTGTGCATTGCACAGGCTTCTACACTAAGCCGTCTCAAAAAGGCAAGGGATTACTTGGGGGTTCATGGGTAGTTACAAGTAGGGCTATCAGTACCCTAATTTTCTTCAGAAGTGTCGTTTCCCTACTGAAAACCCGAAATCTGAACCCTAAACACCAAACTGCGAAAGCGCTTAGTACGTTTGGCTCGACATGTTGCTGCGCCAAAGGTCCGTGTGGATATGTATATATATATATATATACATATAGTATGAAATAGATCGAGGGCCCGAAAGGGGGTTCCTGTACAGCTACTTTAAGGCCCAAGTATGTGCTACATGAACCCTTTGGGGACAGAAGGCTGCGCGGTGACTTTCGTGGCCCCACCACAGATTCTGGCGGAGTCGCACAAGGCTGCTGGATCCACTACCTAAAACCATTCCAGGGTTAGGGTTCAGCGCTTAGGTAGGGAAGGAGCCAAGTTATAATCAGACAAGATCTCACAGTCTCTTGTAATCATGTGTCAGGACAAGCCGAGTGTTTTGTAGCATGCCTTGTAACAACACTTCAAGGTGTAGGATGCAGGGTTCTTCCAGATTCCTTGCAGGATTATGGCGCAGGGTACCTTAGTTAGACCTCAAAACGACATTGGTAGCATTTTAGGCTGAACCCTAATCCCTAAACCCCTAAACCCTATACTAATGGCAGAACAACGGCTTAGGTTGGATCATTCCCCCTAAGAGTAGCTCTCTCCGTAAACCCTGAATCCTAAACCCTAAACCCTTCAAGGGGTTTCAATTCAGGGCTTATAAAAACTCCTGCGAGTTTTTTGTGGTAGCTGTTACTGTCAGGGGGTCAGACCCAAGGGTTTAGGGTTAGGATTTAGGGTTTTGAAATTTGGGTTTAGGATTGAGGGTTTAGGACGTAGGATTTAGGGTTTAGGGCTCAGGGCCACGACCCTTTTGCCTACAACTCTAGATCCAAGGTGTAACCTAAATTCCCTGATGAAGTCTTTTTGAAGTTACAGCACAAGTGGTTTGTCATTATCAAGCTATCGTATACCTAATCCCAATGAGCTCCACATAGACCTCAGTTCCATTCCATTGTTCGAGCTTCTTCTGCAGCCTTGCCAAAATCTTCCAACAGCCCTGTTAAGTTTTGCTCCCCATTTCTCTTCAAGGCTCTGAACCCTAGAGCACGGGGACTCAAAAGAACGCAGGCCGTGGCACTGCACTCCTCCGAGAAGCATGGAGAAGAGGCATCTCCCATGATTGCATTTTTGGAGGGTGAGGGACTGAGTAAGTAGGTTAATATCTTGGCTAGCTGGGTTACTATGTATTATAGGGGTCATTAAGCTACTTACCAAGCGCCCCTGATCCTCAAAGTAGTCAGCATCAGTATGGCTACTGCTACTTCAGGTGATGTTTTTGGCCATGAAATTGTTTCTGGCTTTTGCAATGTATCTTCTTCTGCTTAGTATTCATTATCGTCTTATGATTCGTGGTATCGTTGCCCTAAAGCGCACCCCAGCACTAGCCCTTGTGCCAAATATTCCTGTCCGAACTACATGTTGTTGTCAGCATCGGTTCTGATTACTGTAAGAGCCTAAACAATGAACACTGCTGTTTTCTTATGACCCTCATACACTTCTACTATAGCATGCTACATTCAAAAATGCTACTGGCCCACCCCCCACTCCCCCCCCCCCTCGCGACATGCCGGTGCAGGTAACCTAGACCCTACTTCCTAAATCCCTTTAAAGAGGCCCCGTATAGAAATATTTAGGTCCGCTTAGGCATCCCATAGTAAAGTCCAAGCCTCTCCCAAACTTTAGGCCCTGAACCCTAGGCCCTAAACCCCAAACCCAAAGCGCTAAACCCTAAACCCTAAACCGTAAGCCCTAAATCCTAAACTTTCTGAGGCGAGTGCCTCACAGGCTTCGAGCCGTCTGGTTGCGGCCGCTGCCATTGCAGGCCATTAGCGCTGGTGTATACATGACCACGCTTTTGGGTTTAGGGTCCATAAGCCCTAAACCTTGAACTGGGGTCAGGCAGTAGGTAAATTGATGGCCCAAAATCCGAATGAATAGTCGACAAGGCCATTAGTCTACATACTTTGGGGGTAAGGGGAGGGTTTCCAAGAATCTCTGTCTAAGGATTGTAGAGTCATACAGGCCCTTAAGCAGATAGAACATGGCTTTGGGTATGTTATAATAAGAACCCCGTATACCCCATATTCTATCTACTTAAGGGTGCCTATATAGAGTCTACTGGATTAAGGGCCCTAAACCCCTGGATTCAGGCTACGGGGTTGGGGTTTACCGGATTTGGGATCGGGGGGTTTGGGGGCTCAAGACCTTGGAAGTCGATATTCAGGGTTTAGGGAGTAGGGCTTAGGGATTAGGGTTTAGGGATTAGGGTTTAGGGATTAGGGCTTAGGGTTTAGGGATCAGGGATTAGGGCTTAGGGATTAGGGTTTAGGGTTTGAGGTTAGGGTTTAGGGTTTGAGGTTCAAGATTTAGGGAGTGGGGTTTAGAGCTGAAAGGCGGGGAAAGCCTAAACCCTAAATTTGGGAGTTTTACATCAGCATGTCTGTATGCCTCCAGGGTTCATGGGAGTTGGGGTTTAGGGTTTTGGGTGTAGGGGCTCAGGGTTTAGGGCGGGGTTATAGGAAGTTTGCGCAGACTATGGAGATTGCTGTTCCCCCCTGCGCCCGGTAGAATGAAGTTAGAAGGAGTGCGGGGGCAGCCATGACAGATCGGGCATGTTTCCCATAGGGTCCATGTGGTGTTTAGTATCTACTTTGGGCCCAAATGGGTTCCCATATAGCTACTTCAAGGCCCAAGTATATATGCTAAGTAGCTACGTGGACCCTTTGGGTTTGCTGTTGCTTTGCATGCGGCTCAATGAAGTGTGGGGTTCAGGGTTAGGGTCTAGGGTACAGCCTTACACAGCAATGGCCGTTTGAAAATTGAAATTCTGCGGATTTCCCGAGATAGTACGATCTGTTTATGCGTGATAAACCCAAAATACGATGGCGAGACGCACGAACAAGCCACCCTGCCATTTTGGTAAAGGCCGATACGGTGGCAGGATGGATGGAACACCCTAAAAAATGATGTGGAACCCCAGAAAGGCCGCATGACCACCACTAGCCTTGCAAAACAGGCTTAACCGTTGGGCGTTCACGTTAGTTTGGGCAAGGGTAGATCCACGTTAAGCTCCAAACCCTAAACGGCCTTAAACCTTAAACTCTAAGCATGAAAACGACCCAAAGGTAGCCCAAGGCAGCTGGAGCTCGGATACTCTTAAGATGCAGCATCCATCCCTGGGATCTTAATCCTTGTGAACCTCTCGAGCCCCAACCCCTAGATTCAGGGTTTAGGGCCCCAATTCGGGCCCTGAAGCCTAGAGCCCTATGTACCACTATGGGCTAGACCTTAAGGGTACTTTAATCTACCCTTTATAGGGTCCTAATTAGGGAATCTATGGTTCTAATAACCCACTATATACGGCAAGAGAACCCTAAACCCTAAACCCTTACCCCACGCAATCTTGAAGGCGTGCTGGCCACCCAGGCCCGTACAACTCGCCGTGCGCCGGCCGCCAAGCTTTGTAGAACATCAGGCACATTCAGTCATAGCCCAAGGGGCTCCAAACCGCATGGGATGCTCCAACTACAGAAGCCCAACTTTGTACGCATTTAGGTATTTTGGAGCCTGCGAATTTTGATTAACCCCCTCCCCTAATAAAACCTGGGATTCCAAAAGCAAATAACCAGATACGTGGTACTTTTGCTAGGGGTTTAGGGTTTAGGGGTTTAGGGTTTAGGGGCCCAATGCAGTTACTATTTATAGATTCTGGGGCCCAGCGCAGGTATTAGACTTAGAGCCTCAGGGTTTTCTGCCGAACTGGAAGAAAGGCTCTGGGTTTCGGTGGAGCAAAGGGGAATGCATTATTCCCCTGAGGGGCGATTTGGTGCTATCTCATGTTTCTCAAAGGGACTATGGGGAGACCTCTGTTGCTACTCTTGCCATACACAGCGCTGAAGGTACTTCTTTCCGGCTTCTGTTAGCATAGGTACCCTACACCGCAATAAGATTTGTGCGGTTCAGAATTTCTGGGTATGATTTTCTGGCTACAAAAAGCAGAGCAGAAGTGAACATGATAGTAGAACTTCAAGATTTAGCGCTTGGGGACATGTTTTAGCGGTAGCGAGAATGATATGCACATTGCAGGTACCAAGAGATAGCTTGGCAATCTGTTAATGCTTCTCCAGTCAGATTCTGTTCTCTGCGGATTTCATGATTTTTGTGGGGCGGTCCTCCAAGACAATAAGAAAAGGCAGGATATCAAAGGTTTCATTGTTGTGTATACCGCTCAAATCCCAGATCCTGAGACCCATGTGATTTTTGGTCATCTCTCTAATCATCCACCATACCCTAAACCCAAACCACCTAAACCCTAGGCCAATCAAAACCCCTGACCTTGGTAAGTTACAGCCTCAATCACAGCTTCTGTTCGTTCTTGGAAAGTATTGCCTGGATCCCCAACGTATGTCGCATAATGAACCTTTGTCCATATTTAAAGGGTTTTGGGCCGTCATGTATCCTGCTTTTGGGGTCTAGGTATGGGCTGGGCTTAGATCTAGGGTTTAGGGCTTAGGGTTTAGGTTTAGGGTTTAGGGTTTAGGGTTTAGGGTTTAGGGCTTAGGCTTAGAGCATCTTGAATGTTGTAAGGTCTGAGACCGCATCCAAAGCGGAGACCGGCCAGGACTTCTTTTGTAGACGTCCACATAGGGTTATATAGGGAGTATACATGATATAGTTGCTTAGAATACCTAACCATACAGGGCAAAACAGGGTGCATATAGAGACACGAAGAGATACTGTTGATGGATGGAATCTTGCACCACCTTAAATCCTTAATGCCCTAGGATTTACACTAGTTTAGGGGATTTAGGTGTCGCAGTGGTCGCTCGGGTCGGAGCGGTAGATCTGGTCGGTCGGGTCGGACCGGGCCGAGCGGCAAGCCGGGTGAGATGTTTGCTGAATGGAAGTGGAAAAGGCCCGCGGCTTCCAGCCTGACGTTGGGACTGGACATCCGTACACCCGTGAAGCCAACAACCCAAACGCACTGCCTAGGGCCTAGTGCGCAGTAGCCTGCAGACCTACGACGCAAAACCGGGTCAGAAACTCCAAATAAAGCCACAGCAACTCTGTGGCGTAGGTGGCCCTGGACGGCCCGGAGCCGCGGAATGTGGCGCCCGCAAGCAGCGGCAGCAAGTCAGGGTTATAGCGCAAGGTTCGTACAACAGTAATTTCGGAAGAGGGGCTGTTGAAACGAGGACTAGAGGCCGTAGCAAAGGAGGTGGACCTGTGTCGCCAACCATGGTTCTGCCAAGAAGCATTAAGGCTGTTGGAAAGCAGGGAGACCTTTTGGCTTAGGATGAACGGGTAGAGGTTCCGTGACTAGGGGCAAGGACTCGGGGTCGGGCCTGGCAGGCAGTCATGTGGAATCAAGACAAAACCAAGGCAGCAGAGATGCAGGGAGGAGCTCACCTGCTTCCTGCATGCATGTCTTCTGTCCGTGAAGAGCCATTGTAGGAAGCGTGCCACAAGCAGTAGCATCATTGCAGGAGAGCACAATATTTGGGAGCCAAAAGCGGTGTGATACTCTGCCCGAGCTTGATTATTGCTCGCTGCAATCCTATTCACAATGCCCTGCATGGACTGCAGCTACCTTGGCACACTTATGGTTTTCCCGGCTGCTATTTTGCGGCGGAGAAGGCCCGAAGAGGTTCCTCTCCGTTTACAAGAAGGTAGCAAAGGGCCGGTCCTTTCAGGCCGATGTGGCCGCACAGACGGACATCCGGGCAACCCCTGCAGACAACTGTGGAAGAGCTGCAATTGCGAGCTGCCACTCCCAGGGCACGCTGAAAAATGGCAGCTGCAGGGAGCACGCTGCACAGGTCCTGGCACAGCTGGTGACAAGCAAGCGTGTGGAGTCAGTCGCCGCCGCAATTTCCAGCTGCAAAACAGAAAAAGAGATGGACGATGAGCTCTAGAAGGGTCAGGTGAAGCAGCATTTTTCGCGGTACCTCCTGTATCGCGATATCCGGCAATACTTCCCAAATTACCGGAATCGCTGTACGTGGGAAAGGAGGCATTGCCGGTTCTGAAGGAAGCCACCGCAAAAGCAAAAGCCAAGACAAGCGACAAACAGAGACTGGTCAACCTAATAGCGCACCTGCGAAACGCTGCCGAAGAAGTTGGTGGCCTTGGTCTCCAAGCGTGGATGGAAGCACCATCACGCTGAGCACGCTTGCTGTGAGCTTCGTCGGTTTCGGTCCGGAAGTGGTAAGGGGCGCAAGCGGCAGCGTGAAGCGGACGCAGACCGCCGACAAACAGAGCGTCTAAAAATGTTGCGGCAAGCGGGGCCTTTTCTGCAGCTAGGGGCCACTGGCTAAAACGGCGTAGCAGCAACCGGTCGGCACAGAGGAGCCTGGAGGTGCCAGATTTCCTCTATCAACAGTATGAAGGGTTTGGAGTTAAAAAAAGGTTGGGGCCCCCTTTTCAGGAGTCCCCACAATACGGATTACAAGGCTCTGGTTTTGATAGGGTGCGAATGTTCCGTGCCTCAGTGTTTAGGGTTTAGGGTTATGCAAGGAGCATCCTTTGCCAGTTGAGCAAGGTCAACTGGCCGGTTCCCAAAATGGTCATTCTGAAAGGAATACGCGCACATTTTTATTATAGACTTACAGGCACCCAAAGTGAATCCCCTAAACAGCCATCAGTTCCACCCCTAAACTCCCTACATCCTCAACCTTAAACCCTACTCAAACTCGAAATCCTAAACCCTAAACCCTCAACCCGACATACTTAACCCTGAACCTTAAACCCTAAACCCCCATCGTGGGAGAGTTGGAGGGAGGTGTCTGCCCCAGTACCAACATCGTACATAGCACATGAGGTCCGCGCGTTTTTTCGGGTTTAGGGTATGGGGGTTTAAGGTTCTTGGGTTTAGGGTTTTAGGGTTTGATGGTTTCGGGTTTTAGGGTTGAGGGTTTGAGGGTTCGAGGGTTTTTGGATTTAGAGTTTAGGTAGGGTCTAGAGTGCGGACTTTGGCAATCCCCCGACAGTACTTAAATTAGCAATACGAAGAATGCTTGTAATATGATGCTAAGGGCTTGGGTTGTCCAACGCTTAGTTCCCTAAGGGTCCAATGACCCAAACAATATGGTTTTTGGGCCCAAAGACCATTCGTATTATAGTGTTTGGGCCCTAAAACCTGATTATTTCGACCCTGGGACCTTTAGGGTTTTGATTAAGGTCGACCACTTCCCCTAAGCCCAAAGGAGCACCAATCTGCAGAGGTTGAGCGAGTCAGGGGTTTTCCCTGTATGTCCACCCCACTTCTCTTGAGTTCATACCTTAACTCACCTATCACTAATGGAAATTGGCCATGTTGCTTCGTATGATATGCTACGATTGAGTTTTCGTGCTCATGACTCTCTGTCACCCGAGACCTTAAAATGCCAATACCTTGAACCCTAAAACCTTAAATCCCTAAATCCTAAGCCCTAAGACCTTAGACCCCTAACCTGGGTATTGCGAGGCATAACACTTGCCCAGGAATCTCTCACACCCTTAGCAGCCCTTGCGGGGACGCGAGGTTTTACACTTAGGGCGTCGGAGTTTAGGAGTTGAGGGTCTAGGCGGGTTTGGGGGGTTGGGTTTAAGGTTTTAGGGTCTAATGACTGACGACCCACTGAGTAGGTGCGTGAATCATGGATGCCCCACATCTTTTGAGGTTCATACATGTTTGTAGTTTGCTATTAGGTCCCTCTAAAGCCGATTAGCCAACAGACTCAATCACAGGGACTGCTTCGCAGGCTACCTTGCGCGGATTCCTGAGGGGAACTAAGTAGAGTATACTTACATTATGAGCCTTACTAGCCTAAGTACTAGCTTCGCTGGCCTCAAGCCCTGAACAATACGGTGCTTTCCAATTCCATTCCCGACTCAGCCCCTCTGAATCCCCAAGCACAGGAGGTTTCCGTGGAGGAGGTTTCAGTGGGTGTAGATGGCACGGGCACGGCTGTAGCGCGAGATTGGTCGCAGACAGCGCCAGGGACCCAGCTGCACAAACCTTGACCGCCGTAACCTAAGGGTTTAGGAAGTTTAAGGTTTAGGGGTTTAGGGTTTAGGGTACAGTGGGTTGGGCTGTTGCGAAACCTTGACCCTAAACTTCTGAAATCGTGGGTCGGGCCCTTTCCCTACACTGGGATGAACTGAACATGGTTCTTACTGTTCAGGGATGCTCAGACGCCCAAAAACAGCTGAGAAGGAACTGTTGGGAAGGTTCCAGCGTTACTACACTAAACTCCTTAAAGGGGGTTTTATAGGGGATTATATAGGGGAGTATGACAGGGGTTACTAGGAAGACAATTGTTTACATGCTTCAGGGTTTAGGGTTTAGGTACAGATCATGGGCTTCTCCTAGGCTTATGCAGGGGCTATCCTAAACCCCTAGACCCTGAATCCCTCAATGGTCTAATCTTCACCGAAAACCCTTAACCCGAAACTCGTAAACCCTAACCTCTAAACCCTGAACCCTATAAACCCTATTCAAACCCCAGAACTCACTGGAGCTAGAGATTCTGCTTGGTCGTAGGATGTCGAGGTTTTCTTCTTAGGGTGTATAGGGGGCTATAGTAATCCGAACATGCTGGGCATCCAAATTCTAGGGATCTTGATTTTCAAGGTTTAGGGTTTAGTGGTAGAGGTCTTGATTTTAGTTTCCCCAGAAAACGGCCTGCCTTGCCAGCAATTTCGATGTAGTTCCAATGCTGCTTCTAACGAGGGTTCACGAGGATTCAAGATTCAAGACTTGGAGTCATGGGCCATGTTCGAAACTTGGCGTCAAGATTTTGCAGTCACGAGCCCCAAACCCTAAAGCCTCATAAGTCCCTCTAGCAGTCTGCCTGGAATTGGAGCAATGACATTTTTCGAGCACTGGTTTCATGAAGTTTGTATTCGTCGTCCGCTGATGGAGATCGCTGACAACATGCTTTACTTGTAGGTTCCCTAATATATACAAAGATGAACCTGTCCCAGTAGCCCTTGTTTGCTGCATTCTCAACTTTGTATGACCCAGTAGCACACCGTTTCTGGAGCCGACGTACAGACTTTTTATTCTGATTCTTCTAGGAATTGTCCGACAACTCATCATGCTGGTAGGACGTGTGGGTTAGGTTTTGGGTACTACTGTAGAACGAATGTGGCAATGGTTTTTAAGGCAATGGTGAGCTATTCGGCAGTAGTATACGTGATGACGACTGTCTTTCTTTTCTGTCATACTTGGGATCGTCGGAAGAAGTCTTAGTGCACCAGAGCACAATGCGTAAGGGTCCACAAGCTCCATTGTAATTAAACAAGCTCCTACATACAACCTCCATAGGGTGGGTGGATATTGATATCCTGCATAACCTTACTATACTATTATACCATAATGCCCGCAATACCCTTAATCCTAAATCCTAAACCCCAAGCCCTAAACCCTAGACCCGAATCACTAAATCCTAACCCTAAACCCCAAGCCCTAAACCTCAAACCCTAAATCCTAGACCCCGAGCACTAAATCCTAAACCCTAAACCCCAAGCCCTAAACCTCAAACCCTAAATCCTGCAAGCACTGAATCCTAAACCCTCAACCCCAAGCCCTAAACCTGAAGCTCTAAATCCTAGACCCCGAGCACTAAACCCCAAACCCTAAACCCCAAGCCCTAAACCTGAAACTCTAAATCCCAGACCCCAAGCACTAAATCCTAAACCCTACACCCTAAACCCCAGACCCTAGACCTTAAACTCTAAACCCCTGGACCCTTATGGAGGGGCAGTCCCAGGCTCCAAACTTCCCCTTGCAAGGCTTACTGGGGCTAGTAGGGAATAAGAATAGATTCTATAGGACTTGTATAGGGATCATATTCCCTTATTCCCTACTAACCACCAGTAAGAAGTCCTAGACACATTACACCCTAGTTTCCAGCAATCTGTACTTCAGAATCCGCCGCATGTGGACCCGGGCAGATTCGTGGCACGCGCGTTGCTCAGTTTTCAACTCTTATAGTCCCCCTTATCCCCCTTAAGTAGATAAAATATGGTTTTGGGTACATTACAATAAGATCCCCATATACCCTATATTCTATCTACTGAAGCGGGACTATAGGTTTTTGGGCGCTTCCAAAACTTGAGGGGCACCTTTCTGTGTTGCTGTTCAGGAAATTGATAATTCAAGTTGCCATACTATGGGTATCGTCAAGAATAAAAAGGGTTTCCCCTATATACTAACTTAAATTAAATTTCCAAGTAGCAACTAGCAACCCAGCTTTTGTTGGGAGTCTTTATAAGAAGAATTCTAGCAGAAAGGTGTTTGCCGTGGGAGACCCGGGGCGTAGGACGGCATAAGGAGACTACAAAGCGGGTTTAGAGTTTACGTAGAGTTTAGGGTTTTTGGTTAGGTATTAGTAGGGAATATATAGGGACTTGTTTGGGAAAGTGCTACAAAGGATGTGCCAACATAAGGATCCCGGTTTGGTGTTGTAAAGGTTTGATCGCAACAGGTACGCTCTAGGACCCTAAACCCTAAACCCTAAACCCAATTGTTTAGGTCCTGATGGCTCGCGCACCCCTTCTCCCGAAAATTGGGTATGCGTTGCTGTAACACCTGAGTATCATACACTGATTTCTCCTCTGGCAGTCCATATGGGAAGAAAGTTGTACGTCTGGTGGATCTGTGTCCTGGTGCCCGGCCTACTGTAATTTGCTGGATGGGACTTGAGCACCATAAACCCTACAGGGTTCATAGGGTTTAGGGCCTAGGGCGGATTTAGGGCTTAGAGTTCAGGGTTTAGTTTGTTGGGGTTGAGGGTTTAGGCGATATTATTTTCCGCAATAAACGGGGGAACCAGAAGCTTTGATGCTGCAACACATAAAAGCTGCGCAGCTTAATATAACCCCAAAATAGCCTTAGTATATGCCCTATATCGCCCAATATAACCCTAATATATACCCTATATAGCCCTCATATAACCCCAAATAAAGGGCTCAAGGGTTCACGGCTACTATGCTTTTGATTTCGACCAGCCGCCCAGACGTTGCTTATACAGGGTGGGCACCCCTAGTTACACAACTATATTCATAAAATGCCACAAGTGTACTTCATGGGTTCTATATCTATACTTATCCCCGTTGCCCCCCCTAGTTACACACCTAGACTCCGCAAGAGTGATTCATAGGATGTATATGTATACTTATCCCGTTGTAAGCTACTTAGAACCCAAGTGATAGCTACAGGGCCCTCACTGCACAGTTCCCCGAACGTCCCAGCATGACACCACGAATCCGAAGTTTGTTCTAACTGTCGGGTTGCAGTCGTTGGAGTACCTCAAGAGCACATGAGCCATAGTCTAAACTCCTTGAAGGGGGGTTATAAAGGGGATTACTATAGGGGTTATTAAGGGGGATACTAGGAGTTTAGACTATAGAGCACATGAAACCCTAAACCCTAAGAGCTCAAGGGCGCAGAATGGTGGTTGACACTTCACCAGCTTCGGTTCAAAAGCGAGCGATGCAAGGAACCTCTCACGCCAGAAGTGCTGCTGCATTGCAGTCCGCGCCAAGATGCGCCAAGTACTTCTGCGCGAATTGGATCGAAGCCCTCTTGGGCCCATACCCTTTCATGCCACCCAGCTGCTATGTGGTCGAGAAGGAATCACAGACGCCTTGTCCTGGCAAGATCTGAAGGATCGTAGCAGCGACAACAGTGTCGTGTGACCGTGCACATTGCCTTTGTAATCCTCTTATTACCCCAAAATTATAGTTTCCAAACCCCTATGGCATCCCCGTGGAATTCGCAGAGTTAAGGACAGGTGGGGGACCCACGGTTGCCCAAGCCTCATACCAAGTGAAGGTCTAAATCCTTCACTCCAATAAAACCCTCAACCCTAAACCCCTATAGTTCCCCTTAAGTAGATAGAACATAGCTTTGGGTATATTATAGTAAGATCCCCATATACCCCATAGTCTATCTACCTAAGGGGAACCATAAATCCCAAAGCCCTAAACCTCAAACCCTATACCTCTAAACCCTCAACCCCATGGCGCTTTACACGGGCCGGCCAGTGCTCGGTCAATGCAGTGTTCCTTTGTACTTTTGCATAGTTTAAGGTTTAGAGTCAGGAGGTTCAGGGTTTAGGGTGTAGGCCTTACACCCAGGGAAGCAACGAACAACCCTTTACAAAGAGCTCGTCCGACTGCGTACCTCATGGTAAGGGCTTCCACCGCAGATATCACTAGTTCTCAAACTCAGTAACACCTATGTGGCAGTTTGCCAAAACAGGAAGACGTCAACATAGACCACAGAATATCCGAGTTTTTTTTTAAATGGGGCTCCCCAAAAAAGTACCTAAACCCTAAACCCAACACCCAAACACCCCTAATTGTTTGAAAGCCCCATATCATTCTGCGCGGATCCTCATAAACCCTACGTCTTCCGGTTACCGCTTAGGGTTTAAGGTTTAGGGTCCCTGGGGTCTCCGAATCTTTAAACATTCCAATACACCGGCCGCCCGGCAGGTCTGAAAAAAATGATCCCCTTAGATTACCCCTATATGATACGAGCTATAGTCTAGACGTCTTAAAGGGGGTTACTAAGGAAGTAGTATAGGGGTTACTAAGGAGGATACTCGGAGTTTAGACTACACCTCATATACTTCCCCATATCTAAACCCTAAACCCTAAACCCAACCTAAACCCTAAAGCGATTGATTTATGTTTGTAGATTTAGGGGTCTGGGTGTTCAGCACCCTGGAGCCCAAAAAGCCTAAGCAGGCCCAAACCTTCACTCCAATGAGCCCCACCGCGCCTAAACTCTTAGGGTTTAGGGTTCAGGGTTTAGGGTTTAGGGTCCAGGGCTTAGGGTTTAGGGTTTGGGGTTTAGAGTTTAGGGTCTGAAGACAAAACTTGGTTCCTAAAGTCCTAGGAATTTACGTGCTTCAGTGGCTAGAGTCGGTACAAGATTTCCCTTTATCATCGTACTGCATGATTCATGGATATGGGCTCAGAGGGTTAGTTTAGGGTTTATACTAGACCTAGTCACTACTGACACTGTTTTTGTGTGTAGTATACAAAAAATGGTAGGTCACTGTTGGATTTGTAAAATTTTTATTCTGTTGGAGAACAATTGCTTAAATTCGTCACCCACCCTCTAAAAGAGTGCCTAACCCAGACAATAAGGAGTGACAATTTATAGCTGTTGTTTTTTCTGGAAACCCCGCTTAAAAATGAACGCCCCCATCCATTATTGAGAATTAGTCCCAATATAGTGCCATTACCATACCTTTGGAGGACTTTTTCCTAAGAGCTGGGAGGGGTTGCTACAGGGGGAGGGAGCGGAGCTAGCAGCCCAGGAGAAGTTTTTCTCCTCGTCTAGCCCTGCAGCAAAAAAAGAGACCTAACATGCTAAGGTCCCTTTGTAAGGGGAATAAAAGAGAGACCTAACATGCTAATGTCCCTTTGTTCGGGGAATATAGGGATGACATAGTGGATCATAGGGTTAGTCGTCGGGAGCATACAGGGGCATGGTGGGCCCTAAACCCTAAACCCTAAACCCCTAAACCTAGGGTTCCCGGGCCACTTGTAGGATTGCCAAGAAAGAGCATAAATTGGAAAAAACATCAGAGTGAAATATAATTATCCTGGGATTCTACAGTCGCTTAAGGGGTGTGGGATAGAAGTCTGAAGGAATATCTGTATGATTGCGCATAATTAACACATATACTCATATAGCATACTAGAAAGGCCATTCCTCATTTCTCAATATAATATACATATATATATATATTTACATACCCATATACTATGCCAGAGCCCTATGCACATTAGATACCGTGATGCAGAGCGCAAACAGGTCCATGCAATCTCCGGTGCCATCCACACACTTATTGGCTTCTCGTCCTGAAGATAGTAAAGCCCTAAACCTTACACCCTAAACCCCAAACCCTAAACCCTATAGGGAATGAAGGAATGGGCTAAGGAAACTGGACGCTGGCATGTTCCCTCCAAAAGGGTTCAGGTGTTTTGAAGTTAGGGGTTTAGGGTCTGCCTAGCTTCGGAGTCCAGAGCAGGGCAGGGCATTATTTGCTCCACGTACGCAAGTCCTCTGAGGTATACAGTCTAAACTCCTTAAATGTGGTTATAGCTATGCAGGGGATTATATAGGGGAGTATAATAGGGGTTAATTATTCAGGGGAATACTAGGAGTTTAGTTCAGATTATTGCTCCTACGCCATGAGAGGTTTTTTCTGAAGACAATGCGCCCCCCAATCCTACAGGCTTGCCCGTTAAATTGGAGCTCATACACTCCTGGGTATCCCCATGTAAGCCTTACATAAGAAGCAGGTCAGGGTACCCACCTCGTAAGTCCACACCTGGAAAACTCCTTGAAATGTTGGAGATTCTAAATGTATCCATTTCTTCATTTCATGCCCTAAGCTCTAAGCCCCAAACCCCAAACAACCTTAACCATAAGCCCTAAATTAGTAGTTTCCATTTTCTTTTCCATTATCCCTATAGAACCCTAAGCCCCATACTGGAAGGATCCGCTCCCGTAATTCCTTGCAAGTCGGAGGCAAGAGGGTGCCTCTCCAAACCATTGAAGCCATAGTGAAAACTCCTTAAAGGGGGTTATGTAGGGGATTATATAGGGGACTAACATAGGGGTCATTAAGGGGGATACTAGGAGTTTAGATTAGAGCTGATTTAGGGTTCCGAGTTTCGGGTGGAGGCTTTCCTTGTAACTTCCTGTCCTGTCCAGGGGATGATCTTTATTTTCTTTTTGGCAATATTAAGCCCAAACCCCAAGCCCTAAACCCTAAATCCTAAACCCTAGACCCCAGGCCCCAAATTTTGCAAACTCCAAACCCTACACCCCTACACCCTAAATCCTAAACACAACTCTAGACCTTAGATCCGAAGCCCTAAACGAGCCGACCCAGGGTTCCTCGCATGGCATTCAGGGTTTAGGGTTTTTGAGTTTAGGCTAGCAATGCAGAAGGGCTTTATTAATTTTCGTGCGGCCCCTTTGAAGTCGCTGGCAACATTCGACTTACCAAGGGACCATCAAGCATGGACATGTATGGGTCCCTTTGGTAGGTTAGTACGGTCCCTAAGATGTTGCAGAAAAAGGAACCCATGTCCATTATTTGCCCGTCGCCCTAAACTGGATCAATGTTAGGGATCCTTTATATGTTTTTTTGGGGTAATGGGAGTCCTTACATTTATGTAAAAAGGATCCTTTTTCTCTCTAGGGTAAGTGTGGGCTAAGTAAACCCCGATTCCTAAACCTTAGGCCCTAAAGAGCGTGAAAACATTGACTATAGCTCGCGCGATTTCACTTCACAGGCTTTTGAACTGTAGTCTAAACTCCTTTAAAGGGGGTTTATAACGGATTATCTAGGGGAGTAGAATATGGGGGCTAAGAAGGGCGATGCGAGGAGTTTAGACTATAGCTTTTTTTGAAGTATTGAGTGCAGCTCCTGCGCAATTATATTCTCGCCATGGGATAGGGAGGGTTTAGGGGGGCGTTTAGGCTTTAGGGTTAGGTCTCAGAAATCTGATTTGCCGAGGCTTGTTCCCTCATGACGTTTGGGCCAGTTTGGGCTTCATCGTTCGTTATCCTTATCCAGGGTCCACAGATAGAGTCCAACCCCCCCACTGTCATTGGCCTATAGCCATAAACATTCATAGGGTCTCCAATTCAGCAAGAGGTCAAAGTTGCGTCATCTGAACGCCCTCCTCAATCCACAGGAGACCGGACATAATCTTATAAGTGACTGTGTTTTTTTGGTGGACTAGAGTCGGCCCAAAAAATTGCCGTTTCATACAAAGATTCTAGGCCAACAGTATTAATTGTTGTTCAAGCTCTTATATGAGCCATTTGATACGACATGATGTAGTATTCCGAGCTTCCACGTCCTTTCCAACTCTCTTTACCTTTTGATTCTCCGTGAGTCTCCTCCCTTCATACACACGCCCCCACCCCCCAAACTCCCTTAACAATGAGCCTTCCCAACACAGTACCTATAGATATATATATATATATACACATATCTATATATATATATATAGACATAGATATTATAGATATAAATATAGCAGGGTGAACATGTGGGTAGGGGTTGTTATTGTAGAGGGAGGGGGTGATTTGTAATGCGGCTCGGCGGTCATACCGCGATACGCCATTTTAGACGGAGGTCTCCCAACGAGTCGAGTTTGTTGTCTTCCATTGCATGCAAGAAAAGGTTTAGGGCTAAGGGTTTGGGGGTTTGGGGTTTAGGGTGGTGGCTTATATTCTTCTATCTCGGAGACAGCCAGACAGAAAAAAGAGCATGTTCGTAGCTTCAACCCCATACAAACATTCAACAGCACCGTAATAAAAGGGGGGGAATGCTCCACCCTGGATCAAAATACCCCACCCCTAATGTTAGCTATTTCCGTTTGGGCCCCTAGGCTTCTGAAGAGCTCACCTTTTCTGACCCAGTGAGACACCAACACGTCTTGAAGTTTCGAGGCCGCTCAGGCCGTCGCGTGTCTATTGAGAGCTCCACCACAGTGCATGGAACAAAAGGCATCAGGTTCTGGTTGTCCAATCGTTGAGCACCGACAACAAGCTTGAAGTGACATGCCGCTGCCTCATGCGGTTTTCGTGAACCATCTCCCTGGTTTCTACAGAAATACCATTATTTTCAACAAATTGCATTTACAGCAGTGGTTCCTACTTGTAGTAATACGAAAGGCATGTACGTCATCCCCGCACACGTTCAGCAAAGGTCATGCTGAGGAATCCCGTGTTTCGGTTTTTCGTGACAAGAGATCGTGTGATTGGACAGACGTGCTTACGTGGAACGGAAAAATGGTCATTCATGACCGTGTGTTTTGGTGAGAATCGCCTGAACAATCATGCAGTTTTCAGCTCACATCGAGCTTCATAGCCCAAAAGGTGTTGACGGCTTTTGATATGGGTATCTTTTAAGCAGCAACTTCATCCTAGAAAGATTGGCTCGCGAACATGAGGTGGTTAACATAGGTAAAATTGGTCTAGAGGCCTGCGTTAACACATGTTTTGCGGCCTCATCCTCACCTCTAGCATGCCCAAAACGTGTTGCGCATGGGTTCGCTTGTGGTGATAATGTCAACCTTAATCGCACACGCCTCGGAGCTTGTCAAAAAGATGGCGTCGTGGACTTTGTAATGCCCATTGTGCACAGTCTGCAGCCTAAATCACGCAAAAGGCAATTCTTGTAAAGCCGCTGGCTGAAATAGTCAAAGTTCTTAAGTTAATCGCCTGTGCACGTATACTTGGCCTGAGCAGCTCTTCTGCTTGTAGCTTGCTTGCGCGAAATCGATTGCACCCCTGGCTACTTTGAACTTCCGGTGCTTGCTACCACCCTGCCTGCAACCTGGAACCCCAAAACCATTTGGCCTAGGTTTCGTATATCTCGTAGACGTTATCATTGGCGACCTGGTTCGTCTCAACGGCGGAGACTGGACAGACCATGTGCCGCGAGCCCAACATGCCATTTTCAAAAATATGTTATCTTAGCTGACATATAGCGGCTTATTTAAGTGGTATTATCAACCAGAGGTTGAGAAGTTCAATACGAAAAAATTAAAACCGGCAGATTCCCCACCCTCGTAATGGGGTTGTTAGATTTTAAAGCCTATGTTGTCCACGCCCTCCGCCCGGAGCCTGACTGCAGTGCTCAATGGCAACGTATTCCTGCAGTGCCCAACAGCAGAGTATCCCTGCGATGCCCGACCACCAAGTATCCCTGCGAACCACCAAATATCCTTGCAGAGCCCAGCCACCAAGTATTTTTGCAGAGCCTAACTACCAAGTATCCTTGCAGTGTCCAACCGCAAAGTATCCCTGCAGTGCCCAACCCAAGTATCCCTGCAGTGCCCAACCCCCAAGTATCCCTGCAGTGCCTAAGCGAAGATTATCCCTGCAGTGCCCAACTGCAGAGTGTCCTTGCAGTCCCCAACCGCCAAGTATCTAACCACCAAGTTTCCCTGCAGTGCCCAGCCGCAGAGTATCCCTGCAGTGCCCAACCGCAGAGCATCCTTGCAGTGCCCGACCACCAAGTGTCTAACCACCAGTGCCCGACCACAGAATGTTTTCAATAACGGCTTTAGGGTGGGGATGCTCGAAGAAAATAAAGCGGTTGTTCAGGAAGATGCGTTTGCGCTCCGGGAAAACCTAGGCGGGAAATCCATCTCGCGAGGTTGAATATCGGGTGATGAGGGAAACAGTCTCTGTGCCTTCAAGCATCCGTTTAGAGACCCAGGCTCGATATCTTACAGATGGATATCAGAACCAGCCTCACCTGCAACATACTTTACTAGCCACTTGGAAAGAGCGTGCGTTTGTACCCCAACAAGCGTTGTTTTATAGACCCGGATTTGGCTGTATTGACCCCGATTAGGCTGTTGATGGCTGATGGTTTTTTTCATCCGTCAAAATTGCCCCCGAAAGAACAGGCGTGCCGTGAAGGTTACATCACTGCCGGGCAGTTTTCAGACCCGCCACCCCCTGGTGAATTGACGGCATACTTGAGCTTAGAAACTTAGGCTTTCTCGGCCATGAGCAACATCAGCCGCAAGCAGAATACGAATAAGAGAAGTTACTAAATCTGTTATCAGCCATGCATGTACCTGACTAGAGACCATGCCGCTGACTGCCCAACACAGCCGTGAACCCCAACAGCTATAGTCTAAATTCCTCAAAGGTGGCTATATACGGAAGTATATAGGGGACCACTCTTGGGGGTTATTCAGGGGGACACTAGGAGTTTTGACTAATAGTTCATAAGTTCTTCAACAAGTTCATCTCCGTAGCCAAATCATCAAGGATTGTGAGTAGTCAGGCTGCATGGTTCAACCTGTAGGATGTACGCACAAATGCAGCTGCGCAACTACCAGGGCCCAGCCACTTTAGGCCTTCATACCGACAAGGCGCCGTTACGGGTCAAAGGAACACTTATGAGTCTTCAGCCCCAAACCCCAAGCACCTAATGCTGCTGAGGTCTTTTGAGTGGGTGTTGATCTCGATGGTTTTTGGGGCAGTCAATGCCGCCGGGCACTTAGCACGGCTGAATGTCAGGGCTTGGGGGCCTGGGGTTTAGTGTGGCCCTGTATAATGTAGAGACTTGAATAAACAGCACAACGTCCCCTGAAGCTTCGTCCTAAACCTTTTAATCCTAAATCCCTACCTCTGATTCCTATGATTTTGGCCACTACATTGAGCCCAAGACATGAGGATCCTTGCTATAGAACCTTACTTAAACCCCCAAAAGCCTTAGAAGCACAGGAAAAGACGCAAAAAACTGACAAGCGCCCTCACACTCTAAATCCTCAAGCCCAGGATCGATTTAGCGGTTCAGAGCTTAGGGTATATATAGTGCAGGGCTTCAGACTAGAAAAGCCAGTCAAACGTCGGCATAAGCTCTGGACATGAAGTCTATACTTTCGGGTTTAGGTCCTTAAACCCTAAATCCTTAGTCCTAACCACTGTGTGGCTAGTTTAGGTAGGATTTAGGGCTAAGTGGTTGAGATCTAGCATCCCTTTGGGCTTTTGTTTCAGGGTTTGGGGTTTAGGGTTCAGGGTTTAGGGTTTAGGGTTTGGGTATGCCCGCCCCGTAGGATCCCCATTATTGTATATTATATGGAGATTTCCAAAAATCAGGGGTCAGTTGTTGGAGTCCCCATAATTCATATGTGGATTCCCAAAAATCAGGTGTCAATTGTTGGAGTCCCTATAATGAGGGTTAATGTATTTTGGGATCCATATATAATGGAAGCTCCCATATGTCAATATGATGGAAACATAGATTGTTGGGCAGGAGGGCGGCGGTCCGCTGTAGGCTATCGGGGAGGGTTATTGCGTATTTTGTAGATATCCACATGGTGCGGACTTGTAGGGTGTCCTTGGATAGTGAGCTAGGCAATTATATTTGGGGGACATACCCGCACGGAGCTATGATTACTGTTCTGCAAGGAGTATATAGGTTGTAACCACCCTGACCCTTCAAGGAGTGTCATGTGCAAGTAAGGTTGATGCATTGGTAATCATGGTGTTGGGTTTGGGGGTTGGGGAGGACATGTAGGGATTTCAAATTGTCAAAGGGCTTGAATAGCGATTATAACGGTCCAGCTGATGCTGAACGTTCTGCATGACCGAAGTAGCTTTATTTTGCGTTGGGAAGTACCCGGTGGTCTGGGCGCGTACGGGCTTTGGTGTCCCAAATAGGACGGTTACTTCTTTTGTGTGTAGTATTGTGCCCCAAGACCTGAACACTAAACTCTACACCCTGAACCCCAAACCCTAAACCGCTTATGTTGGTTACGTACAAGGTCGCCTTCCTTTTGAAATGCTCTTGACAGGATATGCATAGCTCCGTGGAAGCCTGCGGAGATTTCTGCGCGTACCAGGAATGTTCCACGGTGGCTGCGCCCGTTCTGTAAGCCCTAAACCCTATAAGCCCTAAACCCTAAACCCTAAGCCCTGAACCCTATAAGGCTTCGGGTTCCAGCCCATAGCTTGGTGGCTTGTGCGCACCTGTTCTGCTGGGCTCCCGAAAACCAGTCCTATAATACCCCCCTCCCTGTAGGGGGCACGCTTCAGGTTTAGGGAATAGGGTCTAGGGTTTCGGGTTGGGTTCAGGAGTTAGGGTTTCAGGGCTAGGATAATCATAAGCAGGGTTAATTGAGGGGTAACCTGGGGGGCTATTGCTGCTGCTGCTGCTGCTGCTGCTGCTGCGAAATGGCATGTGGTGGGTACATGTGTGTGTTGCCATACACGTGCATTGTCCTGGCCGCATTCGCATCATGCGTGATGGTTGCGTCAAACCTCCCATGATTTCTGCCGCAGATAGACGAGCAGACGAAAAAGCTGGCCGTGCTTGAGAAAAAGGTCCGCATGATGGAGACTTGTAGATTCAAACCACCTTGCCCAGCAGCGTGCCGCATGCCCAAAGGTGCAAAAGTTGGAGATTGATATGGAAGTTTCCCAAAATAGGGGAGCCCCAATATAACCCCAAAATACTACAGTCCTTATTATGAGGGCCCCCAAAATAGGTATCCCTAATTTTGGGAAGCCCCAATATGGCTCAGAATTAGCCGTGGTCTAACAGCACTGTGACCCACTGACTTGAGCTGGCTGAAACGTCTGCTGCAAATGCGCGAGGTCAAAGGGGTCTCTATCATTGGGGGGAGGTGATGCGCTGGCTAGGACGGTCCGCGTGTGATGAGTCGTTGTAGGATCCTAGGCCCCACGTAAACTCTAATCCCGAGGCTTTAAACCCTGAATCCTAAAGCTTAAGCCCTAAAGCCCTAAACCTTGCACCTTGAAGCAGCTTCAACCCCAATCTCCAAATCCTAAAATCTAAATCCTAAACACCAGGCCCTAAACCTTAAATCCTAAACCCCAAATCCTAAACCCTTAACCTTGAAACCACCCTTGAACCCTAAACCCTTTAACCTACCTCTGACTATGGCTAAGGTCTCTGGGCTTCAGCCAACGCTTCTGCCGCAACCGACCAAGGCGCCCCTCGAAAGTTGTCAGCTCGCTTTAATGTTTAGGGTTTAGAGGCTTCGATTCGAGCGTTTAGGGGTTTGGGTTTTAGGGTCTAGGGTTCAGGCTTTAGGTTAGGTTTTTAGGCTTTAGTGCTTGGGGTGTAGGGTTCAGGGCTTGGAGAAGATTATTTCGCACCTTCTGCGGGGGAATAGGGGAGAACCATTACATGTTTTTAGCGAAAATTGTAGCTTGGTTTCCCAACTGCTTGAGGAAAAAATTCTCACGAATCATGTAGACCCTGAACTTTGAACCCTAAAGTTTTAAACCCTAGATCGTGGGGTGCTTCTTTCTGAGGGAGCCCACCAGAATTCCACCGCAGCAAGAGGGTGGGAAATGAGGGGGGGAAAACATCATGCTGTCCCGAAATGCTAGACCTAAACCCTAAACCCTAAACCCTCAATCGCTTACAGGTTGCCTGTTGAAGTGCTGCTGGGATAGTTTAGGGTTTAGGGTTTATGTGATCCGGAACTATTTGGGAATTTGGCAGTTTTCTTCTGCGGCACCTGGAAACCTCAGGGATGTACACAAACTATCAGGAGTTCAAAGGATCATATAGGAGCCTCTGTGGCTTTGTGAGAAATTCCCAGGTCAGATAAACTTACAGCATCAATTTTTACAAATTCCCTTGAGCAATGTTGAGACCGCTGAATCTCTGTTTATGAAGCCCTGCAGAGAACCGCTGCTCCCTAAACCCTCATCCCTAAACCCTCGGCCCTACTCCCTGAAACCTTACCGTCTCGGGGGATCGATTTCAACTGTAATCCGCTCCCTCAAAACCCCCAACACTTCAAACCCTAAAACCTAAATCCTGATAGCAACGCCCAGGCCGACCTTGAACTAAAACCCTAACCTATGGGGTCCAGTATAGAATAACAAAATACTTTGGGATCCTGCTAGTAGTAATGGTAACACAAAAGTCAGGGAGTATATGACAGTTGTAGATGTTGAGCCCCTAGGGTCACTACTAAGTGTACATTCTTCCACAACTACAGGAGGGCAGTAAAGAAGGTTTGGCTAGCGATAAGCCCTCTACTACCCCTTCTTTGGGCTTGGGGTATACACCCCACTGATATAAATTTCCCCTGATGGTAAGTTGCGTCCACTCAAAAAAATGCCACTAAACCCTTAACCCCTCTCAACCCTAAATCCTAAGCCCTAAACTAAACCCTAGACCATAAACCCTAAGCCATAAACACCAAATCCTAAACCCTAAACCCTAAACCAGAACGTGGCTCAACTGCTCGGCTTTGGCGAGGCCGCTGCTGATCTAGAGGTTTTGGGTTGAGAGGGGCTTAAGGTTTAGGATTCAGGGTTTAGGGTTTAGGGTTTAGGCTAAGGGTATTTCCACACAATGTGGCTCCCTCAATACGTAGACTACGGCTTAGGATTTACGGGCCCTAAATGGTTCGAATTATGGAGAGCCAAATGGACATGAACATGAAACATGAGACGGAAGCTGGAATTGTGTAGGTGCTCGTGTGGGAACTAGGATGGTTGAGGGTTAGGCTTCAAGGTTTGTGGTTTGAGCGTCTGAGCCTTTTCGGGCTTGACGGTTGTTATATAAAAGGTTTCAAATATCCCGAGGCTTGCTAGATTGAAACTTGTTGCCCTTGAATTGGAAACCCGACGTCCATTTAAATGGGGTATATGGGGAGATTACCCCAATAATGGAGAATGAAATGGAAAACAAAAAGGAAAATGAAACGGACGCTGGCAGAATAGGAACTTAGTGCTCTGTGCTTGCGCATGGACTGCTTATTCTTCTTCTTGTTGTTGTTGTTGCTGCTGCTGTTGTTGTTGTGATGTTCAAACTCAACTCAAGAGGGTGGCTGAGGTTGAGTCATGTCATGTCAGTCAAAGTAAATAATTGTATAGCCAGCCAAGCATGGAACGATGGAATATTCAATGACGTTGCACTGGCATCCTGATGCATTCTGAACCTGTGCCAATATCCACGTATTCAGGTATCTCAGTGAGTCATTCATTTCCACGTCAGTGTCGCTTCATGCCCGCTCAGCATCGGAGCAAAACATATAGCTTCCTGCCATTGAAGCTCCAGCGCGTCGTGAGGTTGATCGCACGGCCCAGCAGGCCCTATCCAAGCTGTACATCGAGAACCCGTTGTCAATGTTGCACCTATTGAGGCACATGGACAGTGTTCGGCAGGTGGCTTTGAGGACACCATGCTGATGATGTCCATGCCATTCTCTGGCCACGAGAAGATCAGGTTCTTGTCTATGTGTGCGTAAAGGCAAGCCGAAGCGGAACCTTTCGGGGTGGATCTTGGCAAGCGTTACAGAGGCACCCAAAACCCTAAGCCCTCAATAGTAGTTTAATGTAGTTTCCCCATTTTCTTTTCCTTTATCCCAATATAACCCCAGTATCACCCTATATAATCCCTATATATGAACGCGAAACCCTAAACCCCAAACCCTAAACCCCAAACCCTAAACCCAAGCCGTAAACCCCAAATCCCAAACCCCAAACCCTAAACCCCAAACCCTAAACCCCCGAACTCTCAACCCTAAGCCATGAACTGGGCAAGGCAGTCCGCAGCTAGCAACGCGGAAGTTGCCACTTCGTCAACCTGCAAGATCACCCTTCACCATAAACGCCTAGGGGTTAGTGTTTAGAGTGTGTAGAGTTATGAGGTTTAGGGTTTGGGGTTTAGGGGCTTAGAGTTGTAAGGTTTAGGGTTTAGGGGGTTTAGAGTTACAAGGTTTAGAGTTGCAAGGTTTAGGGTTTAGGATTGACGGGGTTTAGACTCATGACCCAAGGATAGGCCCCAAGTTCCTTGAACTATGGGTCATCAGACCTCATGCGAGTCTTCGAACCCTAAACTTAAAGACCAACCTTGCGTTCCACACCTTAAGCGCTAAACTTGGTGTTCTTAGGGTTTAAGTTTAGTGCTAAGAAGCTTATTCTACCCCAAATTGAGTGGCTCATGACATTCACTAAGCCCTAAACTGGGCATCCTGAAGCCCATTGAAGAGTGAACTGGGTGGGATTAAGCGCATTAAACCCCAAGTTTAGGGTTTAGGGTTTACCTTGAAACCCTTAACCATAAAACCCTGAAACCCTTGACCCTGAAGCCCAAAGCCCTAAGCCCATTGCCTATAGTCCCCCTTAAGTTCAAGTAGACGGAAATAGAACACGGTGTATTTGAATTTGGGATTTTACTGTGATATTGGGCAGTTCCATATCCCTAAGCCCTGAACCCCAAACCCTTAAGGCTTAACCCTAAATCCCAAATCCTAAATCCAAAACCCCAAACCCTAAACCCGAAACCCTAAACCCCAGACCCTAGACCCTAAAACTCCAAAATCCTAAGCCTTCTTAAGGGACCCTAAACCCTAAAAGTCAAAACCCTGCAAAGGATGGCAACCTTCAGGCTGCAGGCTTCGTCAACACTGCAGGCCTGGGGCGGGGTGGGTTTGGGGGTGGGTGTGTGGTCGGGGGGGAGGGGGTAGAGTTTTAGGAAGGAGTTTAGGGCTTGGGTTTAGGATTTGGGTAGGGGTTGCAGGTTAAAGGTTGAGGGTTTGGGGTTAAGGGTTTAGGGTTTGCGGTTTGGGGTTCAGGGTTTGGGGTTTAGAAAGGGTATGACCCAGAACAGAGAGTCAAATAGACAACGGCATGTAAACTAGGTGTTTATACAGAGAGGCTTACGCATATTTAGGTTCCGATACTGCAGCATCAAATGGAGAAGAACCAGGAAAAAGATATGCAGACTCCTGCATACACCGGTGTACAGGTACTTTCAAGCTGAACAGTACCCTGATGCGGGAAAAACAAATGGACAAGAACATGGAAAGAGCACTCGAAGTCGGGATTTCATGAACCCCTAAACCCTCAACCCCTAAACCCAAAACCCCTGGACCCTAAACCCTAAACCGTCAACCCAAAACTCAACACCCAAAACTTCAAACCGCATTGGGTTGTTTCCTTCCGGTTGAGTCTTGCTTATTTGTATTATGTGGACAGTTTTAGGGTATAAGGTATATTATAGTGGGAGTGCGTTTAGGGGCTTGGGGTTGAGGACCTGGATTATGGTTTAGGTCTCAGGGATCTTTCCCCACGGGGTCAAAGTGCCTAGAAGGTATAAACTGCAACCTCAGGGGGTCTCTAGATTACCGGCAGAGTGGGCATTCGACCTTTACCCAAAACCTAACCCTTCCACAAGCCGCTTGGAGGCTTCTATTTCTTCTTGACCTATCAGTGCCGGGCTAAGCATTTTTTTCGTTTTTTCGTGAGGGTTTAGAGTTAAGGGTCTGCTGTTTCTTCGGCGGTGTAAGCGGTTTAGGGCTTAGGGTGGTTTGGAATTTAGGGTTCAATTTTTCCGTGGGTAGGGTGCCGGGTGTTCAACTCTGGCTTGGTGGGCAACATCGTACTTTCCATTTTCTTTTCAATTCCCCTAGCCCCGATAATTGCAGCCTTATAAAACCCTATAATACTTCTATAAAGCTTTAGGGTGATGGGACCACTATGTGGGTTTAGGTTTTAGGTTTTAAAAGGTAGTTCCCATACTTAGGGGGACCAACATATAGACCCCAACACGCGATAATCCTGACTACAGGGACCTCAAAACAGGGAACCCTAATTTTTGGAAAACCCCTAAACCCTGAACCCTATGCATCTCTATATACCCCTCTGTAACCCCTATATCCTCTTTAAAGGGACCCCCAATTTTGGGAAACCTGCATATTGAGTTATGTTGAAAGGTAGGTTCCCACATTGGCGCAACCTTTGGGGGCACTTTATTGCGGGCGGAACGGCACAGAAAAGGCGCCACATGGTTTTCGGTTTAGGGGATTTGTTGTAGTGACAAATACTGGGTCCGGCAACTGCTGTTTAGGGTTTAGGGTTTAGGGCCGAGGGCTTAGGGTAAGGCATGACGGCATGGAAGAGAACGTGGCAGCTACCACATTTTGGAGTGGGTTACATAAAAACTACGATAAGGATCCATTCCTTCATTCTCGGTTAAGCAGGGGTAAGTTGTGTGCAGCATTAGCTTTGCTCAGAAGACGTAATGGACTCTTTCGCTGTTTCTATTGTGATCCGGAGGGTTCTTCATATTATGTAACGAACCTGTCCCAAAATCTTAACTACAGTGGGAATATTCAGCATTAGGGAAGGGGCTGACGATTCAGAATGCACTGCAAAATGAAACCTGGAGAGTATAATAGTAGACTGAGGTCATGTAGGACTTTAGTATCACCCGTAGCATTCTGCCTACAAGCTGTGTAGCCAATGGGTCCATGGGGTCCATCGTCCGCAGGCAGGGTTTTGATTTTATAAGTCATTCCCAGTGGGTTTAGGTTCAGGGATTAGGGCCATATTGGCTAAGGGATTTCAGAGATCTGGGTTCATTCACAGAGAAGTCCCACCCTAATCCCTAAACCGCACATGATTCCTATTGTTACCATGTCAGTAAGCAAGGGCTTTTGGAAGACAAATGCCGTGCCGTCCTGCTCCCAAACCCTACCAGCTTGCTACAGTTATGGGTTTAGGGTTTAGGGTTGTGATTCTAGACTAGTCCTTTCATACTTACGTCCACCACACCCCATTGCGGTGAGTATTCTGGTTATAAGAGCCCTAAGTATAGTGAGCCACGTTCAATATTGGGGGGTGGGATGCGGTGCATATTCCTGTAGTAGGAAGAGAGCCCAAAGCCTTAAACCCCAAACCCTAAACCCTCAACCCCAAACCCCAAACCCAAAACCCTAAACCCTAAACCCCAAACCCCAAACCCCAAAGCCAAAACCCTAAACAGCAGGCCTGAAGGCCTTCTGCGACTCAGGGGCTATTGCAGACCCTAAGCCCTAAACCTTATCTGAATCCGGTCTTAGGAGAAGCTTAAGGAGGATGCCGAAGCAAATAGAGGATAGAGGGCTTAGGGTTTGGGGCTTGGGTTTTGGGGTTTAGGGTTTGGTTTTTGGGGCTTGGGGTTTAGGGTTTAGCGTTTAAAGGGGGTAGGGGGCCAAGGGGTTTCGTTCCAGAGGTTATAGTATAGCAGGAGTTTCGAGGGCCCCATTAGGTTTTGTGTAGGGAATATCTTAGATTTTGCGAAGCTCCTCTAGAAGTTTCGCACGGCTCTGAAATTTAGCCTCGGTGTCTGAGTCGGCATATCTCCTTCTTGAGATACAACCCTATGGTCCCAAGGACGGAAATAATAGGGTTTTAGGGCCCAACTACTATACTATTAATGGTAGTTGGGCCCTAAACCCCTATTCGTTGGGTCCTTGGACCCTTGGGGTACAACAGACTGAACAAGAAATCCTAGAGTTGCTTGTGGGCTCTGATAGTCATAACCCCTCCCATACAGAAGCAGTTCCTGCAAAGGGTAATAGGAGGTATGCAGTCTAGGGTTTAAGGTTTACGGTTTAAGGTTGGCGTCGTAATAAACCCGACGTTTAGGGTTTAGGATGTAGGGTTGAGGGTAATTCTCCCTCCCAATAGCAGCTGTTCTTAGATTATTTAAGGGGTTTATACGGCGCCAACCCTAAACCCCAAACCGTAAACCTTAAAACTTAAACTGCATACCTCCTATCACTCTTTGCAGTAACTGCTACTGTATGCTATTTTGGATCCCGAAAATGTTGCAGGTACCTGGGGGGTGTAGGGATCTAGAGCGGCCACGCTAAAACCCCTTGAGCCCTTTCGGGCGTAGGGCTTTGGATTTAGGGCTTAGGGTTGAGGGTTTCAGGTTTAGTTAGGGATGTTCACGGAACTCAACCTTCGGATTTCAAGAGCTGTAAGAGGGACGCGCCATTCTGAAACCAAATTTCCGAAGCCTTAACCTGAAGCGTGCAGAGTTTCCCCAAATTCATTCTAGTGATGGTCCTCATGATTTACGGTGGGGTTCGTATTATTAGATGGGTCTGTATATAATTTGCCTTGACTTTGGGAAGAGCAACTTAGGCCAAGACCCATATACGTGCTATTGCTTAGGAGGACCCCCC